AGGAAAGAAAGAAAGAAAGAAAGAAAAGCAAGGCCCTTGCAGTGGGCACCTGGCCTGGGCTCCCCTCGTCTGCATGACAAAGAGCACAGATGGAGGGACCACCCTTAGGTCCAGTTTCTGTGGCTCCCACTCCCCACAGTGAAGAGGGTTGTCTCATGTGAACAGACAGCCGCCTGCACCGTCCTCACCTCAGATCTTGCTGCCCCTATGGCTCCCACTCTCCTGAATTTGCCTCATGGTACTTTAAACCAGAGGCTCCCTGCTCTAGGGCTGGATTGGGGAGGCTTCCCTGGGAGGGAATGCTTTCACTTTTCCTTTAAACTCCTATGTTGGTGGCTGAGCGGAAACACTTGGAATGGCTGTTTTTCTCGTCTTAATTCATTTGTAGTTTCCCAGTCAGAAGCGAATGACAGCAAATCACTGTCTCAGCATCAAAATCCCCATGTCTCTTGCTTTAATTTCCAACTCACAAAAACACAGGCAGATCTGGCTCATCCCAGTGGGGCCGGAGAGGGGACGGGTTCCTCCTGGCAGCCCAGGGGCACACTCCCCAGCTCTTCACACCACTTAAAGGATTTCTGCCCAAACTGCCAACAATGTGTGACAAACAAAGCCCTTCCCGAAAATGGATTAAAAACACTTTGTAATGAGTGTAGGAGCCAGTTTAAAGGGGTGAGCAAAACCCCCAGTGCTGGGGAATAGACACTCAAATAGCCAGGCTGGGAAAACTTCCCCCCAAAGTTTCCAAGCCAACCTATCCCGATGCAGAGATCTGAAGAGCTAACTTTCACTGCTGTGCTCACATCTATCGTGTACATTCCCTGGATATCTGATGTTCTAAAGGTGACACATAGAAAGGAAGGGCTATGTATGGTTGGGATGATCTTGTCCAAGGATTGCTGGACAACTGGACTCATACTGCACAGATGATGGCGGTTCTCTGGGCAGCATCCTCCCCGCCAAGAGCCACTGCATGTATCTGGTCCTTCACGCCTCTCCTTGTACCACCCTTCTGACTCCAGCAGATTCCTGGCCGTCCAATATGTCTGCATTGTGGAAGGTGCCCATAGCATGGGGCAGGGCACACTGGGGCTCTAGAAAAAGGCTTGTTGAGGGAGCTACAGTGAGGAGCTTCTCCACACTCCCATCACCCCTCCCCCGTTTGTGTCCTGGGTAGAAGTTCACTGCCCCAGGGGGCAAACTACTTCCTTAGCTGTGATCCCTCAACTATGAGCTCCATAGGGGGCCTGTAGCAGGTCCCACACGGATCTCCAGGCCCTGGACCCACCAGGTAAAAGCTTGTTGAAAGAGAGTCCTTGGGCTGCCTCCCGCTTATGTTCATAGGCAGAACCCTTCTCCCTGCCATTCTTGACCCAAGTAGAATGTGAAGGGGTTCCAGATTCTCATGCAGCACCCAGGAGCTCCTGGGCCGAGGGTATTCTGACTCTTTGGAGGACTGCAAGAGCTACGCAGCCCCTCCTGTGACTGTGCTGTGCACTCATCCCTGTGAGAACAGTCTGCAGCCCCTCCTGTGACCACGCCCTGCCCTTGTCCTCTGTGTGAGAACATTCTGCAGCCTCTGTCTTGCCTTTCCTCCCGCCCGACTGGAGATCAACTCCCTGCTGCAGCCACACTGTGGTGCCTCTGGCCACGCTGACAACTAGTGTTCCATAGGAGTGTCATCAGGCAACTAGTTGGCTCCCCCAGTTCTGACGGGCCCCCATGCCCCCATTTCAGCCTTCTTTCTCCAGACTACTTTGGGCTTCCAGGGCTCCCAGCCTCACCCTGGTCCCAGGCACTGACTCTAGCTCTTGGTTCCACTTCTGCTGGAACACTGGAGCTGAGAAAATCAATTGTGTTAATCAGCCAAGCCCTCCACTGGAGATGCTATCCTAAAAGCAAACCATATGTAAAACACTTCAAGTGGGGAGATCTGTAATGTTTCTTTTGTTACACGACCATCGCACATTTGTCCAGAGTTCGGGGCTTTCAAACCACATAAGGTTTTATGTGATCGTTATAAAATCCCTTCATTTCCCAAAGGTAGGGTAGTAAGGATTAAGTTTGACTACTGAAGACAGCTTTGTTGTAAATGGTCTCTAATGTCACAAAAGTAGCTTGGGAAGAGAGGCTTATTAAACAAATTTCTTGGGTTGCAAATCATTACAAGCAACCACGTGTCACGTTCATTTGCTTAACCTGAAAGGTATCCACTTGGATGTTTAAAGAAACTATGCAAATTAACGCTGTTCCCAGTGCCCACAAGAAAGCTGGCTGATGTTAAAGGAAATCCAGAGCCCCCTGAAGAAGCCAGACTGAAGTTGAGCACAGCCTCATGTGGTTTTCCCACCTCTTCTGTAAAAACTTATCCACGGCCGCCTGTGGTCACAGCTACTTGGGAGGCGGAGGCAGGAGACTCGCTTGAGCCCAGGAGTTGGAGGTTGCTGTGAGCTGTAATGCCATGGAACTCTACCCAGGGGGAAAGCTTGAGGCTCTGTCTCAAAAAAAAAAAAAAAAAAAACTTATCCATGGGAATCTGCATCTGGAGGACAGGCTATGATTTACTCTCCAAAAATGGGAAAACCCAGTGTAATCTAGCTCGTCTCTTGTTGTCTTATAGATAGCAATGTCAGGGGTTGCTCATTGAGGGGCAGGGCAGGACCCCATCCAAAGCTCCTGGTCCTGTGTCCCTTGTTCTCCAGTACACCAGGCCACCCTGCTTTGGAGCAATCCTGTGTTCCCTGTGGGTGTGGATGAGAAAAATGGGACAAGGGAAAGAGGCGAAGGGGCTGTTGATGAAATGATTTGGATGTTTTAAATTATCAGGACAAAAGGAAGAACTTGTGCCAGCAAGCACAGGAGTGCGGATTTCAGTTCTCGCTGGAGAGGCTGAGATTCATCTTCTTGAATGCTGGTCTTTGGCAGAGCCTGTCCTGGTGGTGGGGGTGGGGGTGGCCTTCTTCCTTTCGCTTCTCTCGGCTCCTGGCCCTGGAGTCCCTGGCTCAGTCCTCACCACTGAAGTGAACTGCAGCCCTTCAGTTCTTACCAGTCCCTCTGCGGCCACCGCCACACATCCCCCAGATGCTCACACTTGCTCCTCTTTCTGGCCCACCCCTTCAACAGGAAGGAGGATCACCATATCAGCCTTTCCTTCCAGGGGTAGGGAATCAAAGATGCTAAGAATAACTAGTCTCTTTTTCTTAATAGCTTAGGAATTTACATTAAAATATTATTCAGATAAAACAAAAGATTCATGTGTTAACTGTAAAACTGCTTCACAGTGCACTTGCTGGGGTACCAGTAGGCACTCTGATTCAGTTCTGGTCTTACTGTCTCTTTCTAGCTCTGTTAGGATCCCAGTTCTAATCAGGTCCTGACAGTAACCGCCTGGAAGAGGCCAGGGGTAGAGCATTATTCCTCTTCGGTTATTGATTGCCCTGGTGCACACCTGCCCTACTGCTCTAATATATATGTTACATTATTATACATGTCCTTGACAGAAGATGAAATTGACCACTAGAAAAGTCAGATTAGTTTCCTAAAGTCTCTCATTGAGCTAACAGAAAAGACCAGAACTGGTGGTGAACATGTTTCATCTCTTCATTTTAGCTGAAATACTCATGGCCACATGGAACAGTGTTGGGAAGAATTCTGAGCCTGGGTCCAGGCTCGATGGAGAGAAAAGTCCCTTGACTACCTCCTTTTCCATGAGAAACTATTTTAAATGAGCCTCTGCCAAGACATGACACCTTCTGAGAATGGATGACACTGCCAGGTGAGTCATTGGGCCCATCACAAAGCAAGTCCTGCCTACCTTCTCTGAACCTTTTTTACCATGGTATGTTGTTTCCTACAAGTCACAGATACCAAGGTATGAGCAGCTGGCCAAATCCCACCAGTGGGTGGGGCAACACCTGAGGCCAAGAGCTCTCTCCATTAAGAAAACAAGCAGGACCTAGGAGGAGGTGGCTTAGAACTTGCAGGGGGACTGGGGTAGGCCCATGGAATTGCCTAGGGGTGACACTATTCCTGAGTTGTGATACTGATCAAATGGGTTTCTGTGTACATTTCCTAGTGCTGCTGTAATAAAGTACCATAAATTGAGTGGCTTAAAACAACCAAAATTTACTGTTTTACATATCTGAAGGCCAAAAATTTGAAGTCAAGGCCTGGGCAGGGCCACACTCCCTCTGAAGGCTCCAGGGAAGGGCCTGCCCTGTGTCTGTCTTCCAGCTTCTCATGGCCCCAGGCGCTCCTGGGCCATCTCTCCCACCCTCCTCCTCGCGCGGAGCTCTCCGGCGCCAGTCTAGAGTGGGTCTACTAATTAATGAGTTCATTTTAACTCTGCAAAAGCCCGGATCTCCAGCAGGGCATGCAGTGAGGTTTGGGGAGTTAGGTGAGCAGAACTCATCCACGTGAAGAGCACCTGTGTCAGGCCTGGCGGCGCCCAGTCCTCAGCGATCCGGAGCACTTGGGCGGCCACCGTCCCCTCCTGCACCAGAGGACCCACCGCCCAGTGCGGCCTCCGCGCCCGGCAGGGGAGAAGCGGGGCCCAGCCCCGGGATCGTCGCTCACTGGGCGCCCAGGCAAAACTTGGGGACATGCCTGTGGGCTATCTCCGCGTTGCGAAGGAGTACAGGACTGACATTTGGTAAACTGAGGCACAGATCCCAACGCAAAGGAAAGAAAGGCGCGGCCTGGCTCATGCTGACCGCAGAGGCGGCAGGCGGAGAAGGTAGTCCGGGTCTAGCAGCGCGGAGTCCCGCGAGACTGCGCAGCGCAGCCCAGCCCCGCCGCCGCGCACTGAGCATGCTCCGAGCCCGGAGGAGGGCGTGACCGTCAGGCTTCTCCCCGCGCGCGCCCCTCATTCCCACACGTCCGCGGCTCAGACTTTCCCTAGTCCCTCCCACTCACGTAGATCCCGCCCCGGTCCAGGGCTCACTTCGACCCCGCCCCCGCACGCCCCAGCTCCGCCCCCAAGCCTCTCAGGCCCCGCCTCGGCCCCGGTCCGGGAAGTGCTCTGGCAACTCAGGCTTCTAGAACACTCACTGTGTGTCTCAGCACCCGCAGGTCCCGGCGGTTCCCACCGTTTGCTACTTGGTGAGTGTCTGGGTTGCCTTCCGCCCGCCACAGTGCCTGGGGAGAGTGGGCATCAGAAGTCGTGGGACAGTCCCAGCCCCCGGAGGTCCTACGGGCGCCCTCCCCTCACCATCCGGGCTCCAGTTGTGCTCCTCTATCCCCGAGATGTGCCCAGACTTTCCCTGGCCTCCGGTTCCTGGACCTGGTTGCACTCTGGTCATGTGGCCTGGCCTGGGGTCCTCCTGCTCCCCTCTACTGCTCCCACCCGCTGCTCCACCTGTTCAGAACGCCTCCAAGATTCCCTTGGTCCAGCCTTCGCTCACTGCCAGCCCTTAACCAACTCCTGCAGAATCACGTATTTCCTTCCGTTTGAGACCAAGTTCTAGGGTTCATTACCATGGCTGGTGTTTGTGTACATTACACAGGCCTTAATTGCGTCCATAAACACTTAGAGTAAACAAGCGGAGTTTGAGAGCCATTCACACTCGCACTATAATTCCCAAGTCGGTGATAACAGAGAAGTTCTGAACTATGTATTCCTCGCTCGTTGGGCTCATCTCTTCCTGAAATCTCAGAGTGGTGTTTGCTCGCCCATTAGCCAGCTTTCTGTGTACACAAGGTGTACCACGTTGGCTTGATTGAGCATCTTCAGACCGAGAGAAGAGGCTTGGTCCATAGAGGAGGGCTCAGTGCAGCTTGTGTAGCAGAAAGAGCCGTACAGTAGCCGTACAGTATTGGCTACGTCTGACCTTGGAGGAGTGATTAGGACATGGTTTGGTTAATTTCATGGGTTAATTTCAATGGTTAGAACACTTTAAAGAGTTGTAAAAGACTTCTTTTTTTTAAGCTTAGCACACTGGGGGGAAAGGAGTAAAAAAAAATTGAAGGAAACCATGTCCAGAGCCCAACGCAACTGATAACTCAGCGGGCACTGAGGATGTGGGCCAGGATTCAGGGCCTGCAGGTAGCAAAGGAGAGGGGCCCCTTGCTCTGTTAGGTGTTTCCTCTTTTCTTGGGTTCCCTCTGGAGATAGAATTTGAATAGAGTGGTATCCTACAGGCTGGGGGCTGGATGAAGTAGGCTTAGGTATAGAGCTTTATACTAAGGTACTTTTCTATGATAATATTCTTCTCATTAAAAAAAAATCTATTACAATAGCTGGTTTTAACTAATGTTATTAGGCACTGCTTTAGAAAGGCCTCCCTGTAAGCAGGTTTTAAAGGACTAAAGCTCTGGGTGCACACTGGCTAACATCTCACTCCTCTGGGGCGCTCAGATTCGCAAACCTCTCCTCACACAGAGCAGGTGCAGCTCTGTGTTGGGGTCTTGCTTTGATATCTGGAGCCCGACCCAGGCCTTTTCCTCCACTCAGGCTCCCTCCCTTGGGCATCCTCCCCAGGTGTCTCAGGGCCTCCTGAGTCCTCCCTGCAGGGAGGCCTGAAAAAGAACTCTCTTCCCAGGCATTCCCTATGAGTTTATTCCTTCCCCAGCCCTCTGCCCTTTCCAGGAAACGAAACACATGACCATTCTGTATTTTTAAATAAAATAAGCTTCCTAAACTTTATTTTTCCTATTTTGCAGGAGACAGTGATTCAAAGCATCATGACTTTGAACTCTTCCCCCTTTTTGGCAAAGGTACCCTTTTCAGTCTATGCGCCTCGTTATGAGAAAATGAAAGTGAAACTTGTTTTTTTCCTTTCTTGTCCTTTAACTTTGCTCCCTACTTTTGGTTGCTCACTTCACTCTGGCCCTAGCTAACTCTCCTGCCCAGTGTAACCTGCCAGGTTTTGCTGTGCTTTCCCTGAGGTTGTGACTTCCTGTTGGGTCTCTCATCACTCCAAGTAGACACATTGACCTTAAAGGCCCTGGGCTCACTTGGCTGCTGCCACAGACGTCCCTGCCCCTCTGTTTCCTGGGATAGGTTGCTTTTGATACAGCTACTTTCTGAAAGAGCTGTGGTTTTATCAGAGTATGATTTGACAAAACCTGAAGGTTTTAAAATCAGAGACACATAGAGCATGACATTACCACTGTGAGAGTGGCTTCTGTGTCGCTCTTGTTCTAGATGCAGTGATAAACAAGCCAGCCCCCAGCCAAGTTGTGGTTTGAAGTGAAAGGGAGGGAGTTTGAGCTGCACAGGGGGCTGGCTTTCCCACTCCGCCTGCTCTGGAGACTGGAGCAGAGGCAGGTAAATGGTAGCCCCTCTGCCATGACCACATACTGCTGACTGTGTGTTCCGTGCCGTTTGGGTAGTGGCTGCTTATCTGCTGGTTGGTGGAAATAGTCTAGTTTTCTTTGAAAAAGTTAACAGTACCAAAGATACACATATAGGAGAGCTTCATAGTTTGGGGAAACTGTATCATGAGTGTATGGAATGTGGTGAATGACTTACTCCTTCATGTAACTAGTGAAATTACTCTTCTGAGAAGAGGAATACATCATTTCTGTGATCATTTGTGGAATCTGGAATACTTTTTTTTTTTTTTTTTTTGCAGTTTTTGGCCGGGGCTGGGTTTGAACCCACCACCTCTGGCATATGAGGCCAGCACCCTACTCCTTTGAGCCACAGGTGCTGCCCTCTGTGATCATTTGTAGCTCTGAAGGTATCAGAGTGGCTTTGGCTATGAGCTGACATGTAAATGGGTTGAAGACTGTGTCTTGCCAAACTGCTTGGGATCTGGCAGGTGGGCCAGTCCTATGGTAGCCACCCTCCGATGGCTGCCAGGGGCTGCAAGTACACTGGGGATTCCCTTGGTGGTGTGTTGAATGTTGAGACTCGCTTTTGACATTGTAAGTTGTTTTCAATTACATCAGAGGCCTAGCAGTAGAGTGGGGTTCTCCAGGGAGGCCTCATGCCCCATTCACCCCACCTGGAGTAACTTCATTTGGCCTGTGAAGTAGCTGTTATAAAACCAGTTCAACATTCTTCAGAAACATTTTCGTATGTTGTTAAATTTGTCGTGTATATGTGTAGTAACCATGGAAGGGATTGTGAAAGCAGTGATTACCTAGTATGTTCACTCTGTCACTTCTAGAATTTTCTTGTTAGAATAATTTCCAACCCGTAACACTGTGAAGTCAGCAAAGTCCCCAAACCCAGCTCTGTCGCCCACCGCCAGAAGTCTGGGGGGTGACACTGAACACACAGTCCACCAGTGGCATGGCTTGTAAAATAGCAGGCACTTGTTAAATCTATTTGTTTTTATTATGGACATCGATCTGCTTGTCGCAGTAATGCATTTATGGACATTTTTCTGCAAGCACAGCGCTGGTAGCAGTTTTTACTGACAAATTGTGTCATATGGATAGTAGTTCAGGAAACTGTTTCCTTATGGACAGATTGGGCCATCCTGGCACTGCATGTTCAGAGGTGTCTGAGTGGGCCAAGAGAGGGAATGAATTTCAGGGCAGAATAGATGAGATATTAAGTGTTGAAAGGTAGTTAGAACTTAGACTTTATTTTACTCCCCACCCAAAGAGACTTAAGAGTGGAGGGTCGGAGTATGCCCCGTGAGGTCCAAGTTTGCTGCTAGTCGTCAGCGTGTTGTGGTCAGCGCTGTACGGTCAGTGCTGGGCGGTGCAGTCAGCAGAGCCGCCACAGCAAGGCCCGAGGTGAGGGGGACACTTGTGAGCCACAGAGGAGCGTTTCTCCGGGGACGGCCTGAGCCTGGCCGCATCCATGACCTACTCGGGCCGGCGCTGCTCCAAAGGCCAGCACGTGTGGACTTGTGTGCAGTTTCACGGCTCCTCAGAGCCATGTGAGGAGGCCAGACATGTGTCGTGTGTTGCGGTTTCATTTCAGGTCATGGCACCAGGAATAACCGAAACTCCAGCCTTGGAAGGAGTTTGGGTTGTGGGTCCTCTAGAAGGACCGTGCAGTTCAGTGGGATGGCCGTGTTCCCTCTGCTTCCACTCAGTGGGCTGGGCAGTTTCTCTTCCCACGCAGGGTAGAAGCATCTCCGTGGTCTCGGGTGTGGGTAACTTTAAGAAGCACAACTGCAGACATTCTTGTGGGACTGAGTTGAGTTTTGTGCGGGAAGCGCTATGATAAGTGCCGGACAGTGGAGCGATTCCGACTGTGGCAGATGAGCAGGATGCAGGCTGAGTTCTCATTTCCTCAGGTCCAATCAGCACCTCCCTTTCCCCCATTCCAGTCAGCATCCCTGTTTTCCCAGGTCCAATCAGCATCCCTCTTCCCCTCTCGTCCAATCAGCATTTCCCTTTCCCCCCGACCAATCAGCATCTCACCTTCCCCCAGTCGCAATCAGCATCTTTTCCCCCTGTTTCAATCAGTATCCTCATTTCCCCCAGTCTAATCAGCATTCTCATTTCCTCAGGCCCAATCAGCATCTGCCTTTCTTCTCACCCTGTGAGCTTTGTCCTTCCCTGCTCACCTCCCACCTGTACACAGTCGGTTTGAGAGTGGAGGAACCACTGTGGGAGCGGGGACAGCACCAACGGGGCTGGCAGGGTCCTGGGACTCACCTGCGTGCCTTTCTGGGTCCCTGCAGGCCAGGAACCCTTTTGTACCTCGTTCTTCTAGAAACACTAGCGGGCAGCCGGTGAGGTTTCTCCAAGTGACCTGGGATTGGTCATTCTGGACCAGGCCGCAGAAGGTGGACTCTGGGGTGCATTTGGGGCCCTGTGTGTCATTAAGTTTGGGTTTGTGTAGCAGGTGGGGGGGGGAGCTTAGACTGGCTGAGACCCTCAGCAGGGACAGCGTCTGAGGAGCCAAAAGCCTTGCTGAGGGGATTTCCCCTTGACCCGGTGGTGCTTTGGGGCTCTGTGAGTGGGGGTTGGTGGATGGTCAGTGCTGACCGAGGGGAGCAGCAGGAGTCGCGAGGGTACAGTTCCATGGGGGTCACTAGTAGCAGCCCTGCAGGTTTTCTGATCTCTGCTGTGCAGGTGAGAGGGAAAGTGAGTTATTAAAGTTGCTACATTCAGAGTCACTTCTCTTACTGAGAAAAGAGAAAACGTTTGGACTGTGTGCTATTTATGTGCACAGGAAGAAAAAGTGCTTTCTCAGGGAAGTCGGAGAAATACGTGGCTCTGGTGGGGTGGATGAACCCCTCCACTTTGTCTGGCATTCGGCTCCGGAGCAGGGAGATTGCCTTATTTTAACTTTCATTCAGGCAGAAATGTCAGCAGGGAGGAAAGGCCTCCTTAGCAGGCCCTCCCGCCCCAGCCTGCTCGCCACGGGGGCACCTGTGCTTCCTGCAGGTAGTAGTACAAGCTTTAGAGTCAAACCGTCCAGTTTGAGGCGTGTGGTTGCATCAGAATGCAAATCAGAAAGAAAGTGTAGGGACCAGGAGGAGTTTCCACAGCCTGCAGTGGTCGGTGGGCAGCTGCTTGTGAGGGCCTCGGGTTCCTGACTGCCTCGTCTTCAAGAGGGAGCGTGGCTACCACACATGTATGCATTGTGGGGGCTGTGGAGGGCTGTGGAGAGGCAGAATGAGGTTTGGGTGGGGTAGATGGTAAGTGTCTGGAGATGTGGAAGAAGCCCCCCCACCCCCAAGAAAGGGACTTTTGAGCAGGAATCTGAACAGTGCAGGGTAGCAGCCAGCCAGTGGGCTGGGGATGAGGATCCTGGGGCAGGGACAGCAGCAGTGGGGGTCCTCGAGGCTTACAGTTGGTGTGTTGGAAGGACAGAGAGACAGACAGCTGGAGTGACAGAGGGACAGGCACCCAGTGGATTCGGAGTGGGGCCTTGGCTCACTCTAGGTCAGTGGTTCTCAACCTTCCTAATGCCGTGACCCTTTAATACAGTTGCTCATGTTGTGGTGACCCCCTAACCATAAGATTATTTTCATTGCTACTTCATAACTGTAATTTTGCTACCGTTATGAATAGTAATGTAAATATCTGATATGCAGGATGGTCTTAGGCGACCCCCAAAGGGGTTGCGACCCACAGGTTTAGAACCACTGCTCTAGGTGAAGCCAGAGCCTAGTGAAGTTCCCCAGAAATGTAGCTTTGGGGTCTCAGTGCTCTGAAGCTTTCATCAGGTAAAATCATGCCAGCAGTGACGGGCCATGCATGTGTGGGGTGACAGGGGACCAGATGAGAAAGTGTGGCATGTCCCTGCACAGTGCAAAAAGGATGTCATGCGCGGTATGGCAGCCGCTCTTATTAGGAAGGCTTTTAGCACTCAAGTGGAGGTTCCCAGAATAATGGCAAAGAAAAGGAATGATGTATTTCCAAAAGTTACTGAATTTAGCTAGCTATCCCAAGAAAAGCCCATGTGTGCTATTCTTTATTGTGCAGAAAAATTTGTTTCTGTCACCATTGTGTTATCATCAGATTAAGCTGTCGAGGCAGATGGATGTGGGCGAGTTGCGCTGGAGCACTTGCCGATTAGCAGGCCGCCGGCACCTTGCACCCATCCGTCTCCAGTCGCCGCCAGCACCCTGTACCCATCTGTCTCCAACCGCCGCTGCCAGCACCTTGCGCCCATCTGTCTTGGCCGCCAGGTGCCTCAGGGCAGCAGGCAGGCAGAGCTGATACCCACCGGGTCACAGAAGAGGCAGGAGGCTGCTCCTGGGTGCCACACCTGAGATTTGTTGCAAGAACTGTTACTTAGGAGGAATGGTTTCTAAAATTAATATTCGTGAAGTTCAGTGTTATCTACCCATGGT